CTATTGTTAGATACTGTGCAATTGGAAAGGATTTTTCACAGTATTTTGTTTTCCCTTAATGGACATTTGTAATGATGCATAAACATAGCAAGCTGTTTTTAACACCATGGAGCAGCTTATTAACATCTCTAAAGCTTGAATAATAATTTAACTACCAGCTGAGTTAAACAGAAGGAGAACAGGAGCAATGAGGAGAGTAGAAAATTCAAGCGTTGCCTTCCATTAATCATTATGGACAATGTGAGAAACAAGTTAAAACAACTCCAATCCCTAGCAAGGATCCAGCCAGAATACTGGCAATGCAGTATTATGTGTTTAACTAAAACATGGCTACACGATCATATTCCTACCTGCCAATTTTTCTCACCATGCGAGGACAGAGAGTAAAGAAGCCCAAATAACTCAAGGGAGTCGGGTTTACAGTACTTGTGATTTGTCTGTGCAGCTCAGATATTGAACTGTTGTTTTCTTTTGTCCATTTTATTTGCCCAGAGAGTTCACCAATGTTGTTTTGATAACTGTATAAGTTTCCCCTTTTGCTATTGTTAACACTGCATGTGATGTCATGAGCTCTGTTAATGCTAAGCTACAAATACAACAGCCAAATTAATTTGTGGCAATAATAGGATTTTAACAAAAAGTGCTACACTGCCAACTTTCCAACAGTTTGTTAGTTGCTGTAGCAGAGAAAAGAAACCTAAAGACTTGTTTCATGCATGTGTAATGCGCTCCTAATTCTTAATCACTATCCTGTTTTTCTTTTCTCAGAGAAATCCCCTTATTGAGACACAAGCAGCAGTAGAAGGGACATGGTTGGAAGAAGCTGAAAAAGACTGGGATGCAGTAACACAATCAATGTATTGATTGTGTTACTGAGTGCATAAACAGTGAAATGCATCCATGATAATAAACCCTGAATCACCAGTCATCTCAGGGTACTGCTAAACAAGAAAAGAAAAGCTTGCATGAAGGGAGATAGGGAAATACTGAGGAGTATACAGAAGCAACTTAAGGTCAAGATAAGAGAAAACACAGAGGCATACAAGAAGAAGCTGTAACGTAAGCAGCGGCATAATAATATCAGATGTGTGGACAGGGATGAAAAAGATCATAGGCTTCAAGCAAAATTAGACCTGAGTCTGGACAGAGCCAATGAATTGAATACATTTTTCTATACTTTTATTTAATGAACAAGCTCAGCTTCTATCTCTCCTCTCCACAGTCAAATGGACATCCCACCCTCTTTTTTGCCTTTTCTGTCACACCACAAATGTTTCAAGTTCCACCTGTGCAATGGGCCCTCCTGCTTCTATGCGTTTGTTCTTAACTTAAACAAAAGATGTTGTTCTTCCCTCCACCTTTCACCTGTCCGTCTCTAGAAGTCAAAGGAAGAGGCAACTGGAGAGACTGATGTTGAGTTTTAATTCAGGGACTGCATCCTACAAAGGCCACATTCATCAGCCAATTACATCATAGGACGGGGCCAAGGCCTGTTTGGATTGAAAGACTCCTCATTATGTGGGCCAACAAAGTGCAGCCTTCTTTTTGCTCTTTTGGAAGGACAGGTCAGGTGTACCTACGTAGCCTATGGGTATCCTGTGATTCATTGTGAGTTCAAGCAAGCTGGTTGCTCCATGCTCAGAGGAAAAAGGGGAATGGCAGATATATGGCAGGTAAAATTTGGTTTATTGAAAGGTTTTTATTTGAACCAGTGCAAATGGGTTTGGCTGACATTAAAGATGAATTCAATATCTGTGTGCAGTGTTGGGACTATAGATCTGATATTCTCAACAACAGTACTGCTGTTGAAACTCCTCGAAAATATAATTGGCATGCAGAACAGTTGTGAGAAGTTTGGTTTTCATTATCTCCCTGTTTTGTGTGTAGCCTAGCAACTGTCAAAGTTGCTAGGCGACATAGGACAGCTTGAAAAGGCTGGACCTGTTTGAATCCACAGCCAAAATCTTTCGGTGTCTTTATTTTCTCGGACCTCGAAGGACCCAGTCTTGGTAGACCGGTTTCTTGGAGGACAGAGAAGCGGAAATTTAAACACATCCTGCTTCTCAGTTACTGAATGTCAGTCCCAGAGCCCTGCAGGCCTGTTCAGACAAGCTCTGTATGGTTCCATAGCACCTCTTCAATTTTAGCTTAACCCAGGAGAACGTTCCAGTGTTGTGAACCTTCTGCTTTGTTACAGTACCAAAGAAAACTCAGTCAACAGTCATCCATCATGTTAGACCTGTTACCCTAACACCCCACATCATCCTAGAGACTTTTGGTGGTCTACCTGAGCAAGCAAACAAGACGCTTTAAGGATCCTTTGTGGTTTGCTTATCGGAAGGTGCCATTATACAACTGCTTTAGCAGACCCAACTGTGAAGCTACCTATGAGATAGGACAGGCTTAGGTCCTTCGATGTCTGCAGTTAGTTGCTGAATATCTTCTGTTACTCTTGTTGAATGTGTGGTCTATTCTTCCATCATCTGCTGGTGTAGCATTAGAACAAATTATTTATATTTGAATTCCTTATAAAACGAAGAACATTAAAGAAAACAGCAAGCATCCGCTTTAAAAGAATGATAAACACAAAAACAGGGTCTTCATTGAAAGACTTCTCCAGATCTGGTGCTAGACCAACTGCTACAGAAGATACTTTCTGCCCATAGCTATAAAAATGTCCAACAACTCGTGGTAAAAAAGCGATGAATTACAACAACATTTAATTTCCCTTTAGGATTACTAAGGAATTTTAGAATTCAATTGAACTGAAGCACAGAAACATCTAAAACATGCAGGACACCAGACCTTGAGCCCTGACTTTGGCACGCCAATTAGTATCTTAAAATTTCAGGGAATGTTCTGCTACATATAGATCTGTCTCACATGACTTAAATGTTGGCTCATTAGCAGAGCTCTGTAGAGATTTACTGCATACTGGTAAGAAAAATTTGTCATTTAATTTAGGGCAAGGAACAGTTATAATTGTTTTAGGAATCCAACCCTTGCCTATTTGAGTTTTAGACTGTTGATTTAAAGAGATAGATTGGATTGTTTTGAGTGATTATTTATGGCATTTTTTTCATTAACAGTTCCTTTTCTGTTTGTAAAAGTATATCATATCTCTTTGAGCTTAGAAATAAAAAGATTTTGAGGTACATGTCAACTACCACCTGCTTTTGCTCATTTTACAAAATACAGATATTATACTATAAAGAATAGTAATCGTTAAGCATCCAAAAAGAGACAGTTTTCAAACACAACGATATGTTGGTGAAGGACATAAATTGTATTCTTCTTCTTGTATTTAAAAAAAAATTATGAGTTCTTTCACAGTTGAAAGCCTGCTATACTATCCATTATTTCATTTTGTACACAACTGTACATCCCCCTTCCAAAAACACACACACAAAACAATAACATATGGACTGTCCTCACACACACACACATCCATGGATCCAACACCACATACATGCACTTCTCAAGCATAGCTCTATATAATCTGTATATTTGTTATCTGCTATTATCTGTCCTTATTTATCCTGTATTATAACCCCACTAATAAATA